AGGGCTAAGCACCTCGGAAAACCTGGATGGGCCTTGCAAGTTTCACTTGGAATATCCAAACTCAGATGGTGCTGAGTCTGGAAAAAGCAACAATATCAAAAGGACAGATAAAGGAGGCAGAGAAGGACGTGTTTGAGTCTTCGTTTTCTTTTAGCATTATAGATATTACTAGCTACAAAAGGGAATATTGTTTCTAAAGGGATTAGTTTATTTCAGACATAAATATTATGCGGTTATGAATAGCTTCTTAAAGACAGACAAGTCGGATAATTTCAAAATCTAATAAACTTAATTTTGCTTTTAAGAGCATTTAAACCTCTTTTTGAATATGCATCAGAACATTTAAAAAACATTATCTACTTGCAGCTTACTCTTCCTTTGGATGATAACCTTGTATTTCTTCTAGAGTTTCAAAATATTTCTATTGTTTTAAATGTCTATCTGATGGATAAGGGCTCGTTTTTGTAACAATACAGACAAGTAATTGTAATTTGTTTCTTTGGGGATACAGTTAATGCTGACTATCCAAACCGTTTCTTGAAATCAGTGTGGAATAGGCATAATTCAGTTCCATAAACTTGCAGTATTAACATAATGCCAAATATTTCTGTTTGGTCAAAGTGCTGTTGGGTTGCAGTAAAGCTAGCATGAAGGATGCATAATGTTTTTTGCCAAAGGAAGTACAGAAAGTGTTACTGGAATCGAATGGGCTGTTTTCTGGTTATTACTTTTGTGGAACCCCTCTGGAGTGGACTAAATAGCTAGTTTATTTCAGTTTTACTAAGTCAAGTAGAACCCCCCACACACACACCATCACAATTATTGCTCTAATTCTAAAATGAATAAAATTTTTGATAGGGTTTTAATGCTTCAGAAAATGTTTTCAAGGTTTGTCATTGTTGCTCTGGCAGCTAAACAAGTGATTGGGATGTTTGAAAATGGATCTGAGAAGAAGTAGGGAGAGGTGACTTTTTTCATTTAACAGTCGCTTTATGCATTTTCTTTGCTTTTCCTACCTTTGAATCTGCTGCTTAAAAGAATGAGTGAGATATTGATTAAAAAGTGCAACATGCTGCATGCAAGATTTGGTGGGGTTTATCTGAAATTCATTTGCTTTATTTGTTTTGATGCATAGTTATTTTATCTTATTGTGGTTACCTGGATTGCTGAGCAGTCAGGAAGCTGAATTGTAGGAATAACTGTAGAATTGGAGACTTAAAAAAGAAGAAACATTTATAGATTCCAAAGTTGCTGTACATGTTTTTGGTGTCAAGGATTAAAATAAACAGATAATGATGTGTCTCTTCATTTAGCCTTTAAAGACAGATTAATAATCTGTTAAACAGATTATTGAAGAAAGCCATAGAGGTTCAGATATATGCAGCCAACTGTATACAGTAGTCTATATAAAAGTTATTTTTTGTGAACAGTGAAATGCAATGAATCGTTTTGCTTAGGGTAAGCTTGTTTTTTGTCAACCCAAAGAAAAAAGATACATTATTTGATTTTTAGTAATTTTAAATACTTATCTTTCTCTTTGCATAGCTGTTACATCTGAGTTTAGACTAGAATTAATGAAAAAATTAATAATTGACTAGTATTCAAGGTTTAATAAAGTTAAGTTCAGAGCAGGTAGTAAGAATAGGAAAGAAAATGTTTATGTTTATCATGCAAATTAAAGCCAAAGTCTGTCTCAAAAATATATACCATCAGATTTCATTGTAGTCAATATGGTGTTTGTCAGTGCAGAACCAGACTGATTACTGAAACATAATTGCCTTCGTAGAGGAATTTAGTTGCGAGGGGAAGTCTCTCCTAAGATAGCGCCTTAATACTTCAACAGTATTAAAGCAGGGTGCTTAAAAAAAAGGCTAGTTAGGAGCAGTTATTTCTAATGCACTTTAAACTGTAATTGAATAGAAAATGACAGCGCTAGACTATTTTGAGAAATCTTGACCATTGTGCAACATTTAATTATCAAATTTTACATTTCAGTATTCTAGCATTAAAAATTTTTCTCAATTTGCAAGTAATATACTTTTTACTATGTTAGAAGCATTGTTCTATTACTACAGTAATAGCTTCCGAGGATACCCTTTCCCAAAAGTTAAGCGTTTAGGGCAGCAATAGCAATATCACTATTCATGTTCTATTTCAGTAGTCAGGAAGGTTTTTTGTTGCTTTCAACTTCTGCTAATTAAATGAAGATTTTTCTCATAAGGTAATGATTTGTAGCTTGTGGTCCAAAATGTGAAGTTTAGACCTTTAATCATTCCCTCATTCAACAGTAAAGTATTTTTAAAACTTGTCAGCTTTTTTTGGTGCAGGTAGACAATGCTATACTTTTTATTGATGGTGTAAGCCTTTATTTTACTGAGAGTCATTAGCTATTTAAAACTTCGTGCATAAATTAAAGAGGTGCTAAATGGATTTGCAGTTGTTGCCATTAGTAGCATTTTAGATTATACAGGCAATTATTGTGTTCATTATTGTATAGCAGCCCCTTTGCAAAACTATTGTGGTTGTCTTAGACATTATGTACAAATTTTCCCTTGGAGATTAAAATTTCCAGTGGTGTGTTTAACTTTGGTAACACGGTGGTTTCAAACAGAACAAATATTATGATGAGTAGAAGAAAATTTGCTTTTCTTATATGGGAAGTAGCGATAAATGTGGAAAATTACTCCAAGTCTTACATTGTCATAAGTATTCTGGTTATGAATATTTTCAAAAGGAAAGGAATTGCTTTCTTAAGATGATAAATTTTACAAATGCTTTGATAACATCACAAAGTACTTAAAATGAAGTTTACTCACTTTTCCAATATTTAAATAAATTTTAGAGAATGTTAGTGAATTTCTACATGAAATGTAGCTGGATAATTCAACAGAGTTTCATTAGTTTGAGTGCAGAAGTTGTTTAAGTGGAAAGGCACGGGATTAAACTAATTAAGTATATTTCAGTACATTGCAGTAACTATTTTTTGAGAAATGGCAAATGCATTTCTATTCAAACTTATATTCTTTGTGTGCCTTTTTGAGTAGGGCTTTGCAATTACTCCACTTGCTAGAGTAAATGAAAATATTAAAATTGGCTATAGCCAGTAGTATGATCAGTGTGAAAAAGGTTTGCATTATTAGTAACAAACCACATGCTTTTGAGCGAGAGATTTATTGTGTGAAAATTTTTCATCAGCAGCTTTTTTTTATTCTCTTCATATTTCCCCAAGCACATTTTTGTTAGATGCCAAACTTAAATTCACATCTGTCTTCATTAACTAGAAAGGTGTTAATGCTTTGAATTAGCTACGTATCAGTATGAAGTAGACTAAATTTAACGTTTCTGTCCAGAAAGTGGCATTCGTTCCAAAGCAGCCATTTATTCATTTCTGTTCTGGGGTGGGGTTTGTACAGGAGGGGGGAGCTGAGGGGAGAGATAGGCTTTCACCACCGTGATGCGGGAAAAAAAAGTGTGAGGTGGTGGTTATGCATATTGCAAGACAGTGATTCTTTATTTTATTACAAAAAAAAGACCAACTCTAGAAGGCCAGATTAAATCATTCCTTTCACTTTTTAATGGGATTTGGATGAATAGAGTAAAATATGCACTTTGCATTCATTGATAGCATCTTTAGGTTGAGGTAATTGAGTCTTTTTTCCCTGACTGAATGAATAATGACTTCATCTGATCCTCAGCGAGGCCTGAAACTTAGCCTGCCTTTGTCAACACAAAAAGATCCGGGCTTTGAAACATGCTCTACTTCCCTGGCTTAATTTTTCTTCATTTTAATCCAAAAACCTATTTTTCTCAATAATTCAAGCATAAACTATGTAGTAGTTGAAGCAGCGGAAATTGCAGGATATTTGTCCTCGTTGTGCTGCTGTTGAAATGCGGCTGATAAATCAGGCACTGCAGTCTTCAGCTGCCTGGTTCTCTGGGGAAGGGACAGCCCAAGTGTAAGCAGGATTGCTGGAATTTTTAAGAACTATATTTAAAGCAGCCCTTCTGCAGACTGTTTGTTATCTAAGGAAGTGTTCTGTTTTACTGGTCTTACTGGCAAGACTTGGAGATAAAAAGGGCATCTGTGACAGGGCCGAGGAGACGCTTTCTGACACAGTTTTCCCACATATTTTACTGACTACAAGAGCATCCCAAAAAGCGGAGTATAAATACTCAGTTTACAGCATACATTATTGAAATGGTGGGAGTCTTAGTTATATAGCTTAAAAACATTTTTGCATGAGAAACAGCGGATGAAAGATAGCCTCTCTCAGTGTTTTTGCTAAAGTGTTTCTACACCAAATACCTTTTACTCATGAAAAGTTGAAGCCATGTTCTACTATTTTGGTTTGAAAATGGATATTCTGCTTGATTGTTGGTTTTTATTACTGTATTGAATAACTGAAAGCTTCATACAATTAAAAATGATTTCTATGAAATTAGTTCAGATTTGCAGACCGGTGTGGGAGTAAGGTTACAAGTTACAGTATACTAGCGGTGTGATGAGAAGGTGGCTCTGTCGAGTTTGTCCGTTGACTCTTGAATCTAACGGGTTTTTGATCTTCGAGCAGTAAATGAGCAGTAGCTACCCTACAAATATGATGTACAGTGCTAGTATTTTTGCTGCATGCTGACAGAAGAAAACTGTTCCTTCTCATTTGTTCATCTTTACTTGTCTTTTCTCCTTGCCCTCCTGTGTTCCTCTCCTGGATCAGGGGATGGGGAGAGATGTGTCAGACGTAAAACCATACAGAAGGCCTGGCTGGGACAGGTCACGCTGGTTCTAGGAATTGCCACTGCCCTGTAACCAGGGAACATCTATTGCATGCAAGCATAGGAACAATAATCAATTCCGTTATCAAAATACAGTTAATTGTTACAAGTGCGTGGATTTTTAACAGGTAGGAATAAAAAAGCCAATAACAGCTAATTGTTTGTGCTGCAAAAGTGTCAATTTAAGAAAAAGTCATGACTAACTTGGCATATACTTCTCCCTCTAGGTTGGCTTGCTGGACCTGGAGCTGAATCAACTGACCAAAGCCTTGTTTTTGGCTTTAGTTGCACTTTCAGTTGTTATGGTAACCTTGCAAGGATTTGTAGGCCCATGGTATCGCAACCTTTTCCGGTTTCTCCTCCTGTTTTCCTATATCATCCCGATCAGGTATGTATCAGAATGAAAGAAAAGCACAGATGTCTAATTTCACTGAATGTGGCTCTCTTGAAATTTATACATGCTTCTCATTGTGAAGGAAATTGATCTTATCAGGAAGGAGAAGGTGCCAACAAATCTGCTGATTCTTGAAGGATCACTCTACAGAAAACAATACTGTTGTATTTTCTTTTTGTATAATGTTCATCTTGCTGGAGTAATCAGGATATCTAATCCTTTACTAGCATAAATGTATTAATAAGGATACAATCTTGATATATTTGAGAATGTGGTTTTAGGAAACATATTTGAATGAACTGCTGGGTATATTTTGAATTTTATTTTTAATGACTTAAATACTGAAAATGTTTCGTTTCTTTGGTTAACATACAGACTTTTTACTAGAACAATGATTAATTTAAATTGAATGGCTGGATAACGTAGGTGCGCTTTTACAATGAGAGGACTTTTAACATGTGTAACCAAGTAGAGACTTGCCCTGAATTAGTTAATTCATTAAGCATGAGTACGGTATATTCAAATTGCAGATAAACTGGAACAGGAAATAATATCCATGTCTGTAATCAAGTCTTCTGTGGACACAGAAGTGAGAACACTGACTCTGAAATGATTTTTTTTTTTCCTGCAGTGGGTATTGCCTTTGCGCAATGGAAATACTCCCTCCTGTTAAAATACCCAGTGTTTAGATTAAGGGGATTGTTGATTTTAGATGCTCTCTGGAACTTTTCAGTGTGAGATACGTCATTCACTAAGTCCAGTGGCTAGCCACAGAGTTAGCTGCAACTAAATCGTAGCTAGGTTTAAGACCTCTCCCCTCAAGGTTTAAGACCTATCCCCTCCGGTGTGCACACAATACTTAAGTCCATGTAGTATAAGAAAAACAAAACAGGAGGATTTCGTTAGGTGTTTTAATCTAAGCTTACATGACTTCTGTGTTACTGCGCTCACACTTTGTAAGTCCATGTCTCTGTGAAGGGAACTATATCATATTTGACCAATTTGATGCTCGGGAAGTAGCTGTCTTAAGGTTTTATAACTTAAAGGACTTGTATTTTTATACTACTTCTGTGTTGCAAGAGCGACTGATTCTGTTGGGAAGTTGAAGGAGAAGGTTCCAACAAATCTGCTGGGGAGCTGAGGAGCTCTCTCATTGTAAAAACTGACCATCTTAGAACAGTTTCTACTTCCTATAACTGGCTCTTGTTTTTTATTTACACATTCGTGTTTCAATTTTGTGATAGCTTTCTAAACACTGTCACTGTCATAACTCCCTTACTGTTTGTGTGATGCTGCTGTTCAGCTGATGTCATCATTCCCCCCATACACACACAGCTCCTGAGCACTGAGCAACTCGGCCATGTAAAGAGCCAAAAATTGCTGCATTCAAGTGAGAAGTGGGGTCTGCAGGTTGCTGAAAGATACACTTAATCATCAAAGACATGTAGGGGCAGGGAAAAATGAGCTAACAGTATAAAGGATCACTTGTCAGTGACTGTGTTCTTCCATAATAAACATACTAAGCCAAAACTTATTAAAATGGTTAAAAGACAGATCTATCTTTGTTACTGAATGCAAGAGGGTTAAAAGCACATAGGTGGTGTAAGTAAATTTGACCCTGTATTGACAGTTCAACATATGACACTGAAAAACGTGTTGATTGAGCTGCTCATTTTCAACTTGAGTTGTGTAGTGGACTTGCAGAAGAGTTCTCTTCCGAAAATTATTTCTAGTAAACACCTTATCCCATTTTTCAATTGTTTGTGGGAGTCGATATACAAAGCGGGAAGTATTACATAATTTGATTGGTTTAGTTCTGAGATGGACCATCTCATAGTAACCATAGTTTACTCTATGGAGGATCAGACAGGAATCTGTCAGAGAATGCTTTTCTCTCTAGCGGTTTATTTAACTATTAAAGTGTACCAACTTTTCTTCAACTCGGATTGTTTGTATATAGGGTTGCTTCCCACACTGCCAGCAAAATAAACAGCTCCAATCATGCCAATCTTCAAATATAACTACACTTTATTTCTCTCTTCTGGAAGCTAAGCATGGAAATGACTTATTCTTTAGGCTGTATTTGGAGTGTAAACTCTTGGAAATGAAGATTACAAGACTAACACACTGAACCACCAGGTGTTGTGTCCTCTCATTATTTTCAAAATAGCTATATGGGGGAAACAATGAACTTTTCACAGGTAAAGGAAATCAACGTGGGAGATTAGGATTGACTGGGGTAGAGGCAAAGCATGTCTGAACTCACGCGCGCATGAAATGTGTTGATTGATGGTTTCAGAGAATTTAGGAAGTTTCTAAATATGGAGCATTTTTTGCAGTTGTGGTTGGCTTTTGGTTTACAGGGCAAGGGAAATTCCAGGTATGCAATAAAAATAATTTTCCATGGCCAGACACATTTTGTAAAGATCATCAGGAGGAGGTAACTAACTGCTAGCAGAGTTTAACTGAGCTCTGTGCAGCCTCTCCTAGAATTAATAGGAAGAGAAACTTTTTTTTTCCTCCAGGGAGCAGCTGGTTCCTTGTGATTCAGCTGCATCCTAGATACTCTTCTAGATCAGTGCTGCTTCACGGTGTGAAGGGTGTTACTGTGGGGCATGTAAGACTTCAGAAGTGTAAACATAAAGCAACTGTAAAAAAAGGAACCTAACACAGCCAAACAAAAAAGTAACCCCAACGACCAACACCTATCCACCCCATAAAACGCAGCCCACAACATTGCATGCGTTCTGTAGCGTACAAGGAATCAAGCAAAATGGGGAAAAGGCAGTAGTAAGCAAACACTCAAAGCTTATCCCAGCTCTGAACTCGTTGTAAGATAGAACCATTATGCACAAAAGGTTTCAAACAGTCCCACACCCCCAGAAACGTTTGGCCCTCAAAAATGGCTCTTCTGTAATTGATGTTTCTTTTTCCCCAGTGGAGGAAGCATAGCCCAGAGAGCCTCCATCAGCAATCTGCCTCCCTACAAATTAATCTATTCAAATTTCTTATAATTTATTGGGAAAGGAGGATAGAAAGCAAGTCCTTGACAGACTGTCCAAAACTAAATAAATCTCTCTAGGACTATGCTCACCCATTCTCTGAGTTTTCCCATGTTCCTTGGTATTCTTAGGCCTTTTTTCTAGTTGGCTCTAGCCAGTTTGAGGTGCATTAATGCCTAGCCATAAGGTTCCTCCAGTGTCACTGAGACCATTTCATTACTTATTTTAAATAAAATCATTGACTGAAATGCATTCTCCATTAGTTGATGAGATCCTGTCTGATGATGTCACCTAGTGCAGTTATCACATAGCAGGCTGGAGGAACATGGGTCCTCAGGTAGGTCCACGCTGCTGCTTTTTGTGATGCCAGCGTGGAAGTTCTTAGGCCTGTGATGTTTCCTGGGTTTTGTTTTATTTTTTTTAGAATAGTAAGGTCCTTGTGTTGAACAACTTTTTTGATTGTGTATTTTCTGAATGACAAAGGACAGAGGGCAAAAACAGTCACGCTAATGAGAAGTGTGCACCTCGGGTTGGGGAAGATGAGGCAAAACTTTGTCATCGTTATGCTATCTTCTACCTGGTTACCCAGTTTATTACTGAGGTTATAGATACATTCTTTTTAGTTTTATATCTTTTTTAAAATCAGGCTTACATTTTTATCAGGAGAGTTTGATTTCCGTTTTGTGTGGAACTGAAGACATTTACTGTACACATTTAAAATTCCAGTACAAATCGTGTAAGTCTTGAGGAGTTTTTCCTTCAATTTTTGCAGCTACTAATTTGATCAGTTGTTTTAGTTTTATTTTTTTTGAAAAAGCTGTCAGAGACACAGTTACTAATATTTGTGTTTTCAAGTCCAAGAGAATAGAAGAGACTTCAGTGAATGTGGGATACAGGACACCCGCTCTCACCTGCTGAGCTGAAAATCCCGATGTGTATGTGGGTGCAGGAAAGAGGACTGGGCTGTTAGAACGCCTTGCCTAGCCCTCTACTCTGCCCTGGTGAGGCCCCATCTGGAGTACTGTGTCCAGTTCTGGGCTCCCCAGTTCAAGAAAGATGAGGAGCTACTGGAGAGAGTCCAGCGGAGGGCTACGAGGATGATGAGGGGACTGGAGCATCTCTCCTCTGAGGAAAAGCTGAGGGAGCTGGGCTTGTTCAGCCTGAAGAAGAGAAGGCTGAGAGGGGACCTTATAAATGCTTATAAATATCTCAAGGGTGGGTGTCAGGAGGATGGGGCCAGACTTTTCAGTGGTGCCCTGCGACAGGACAAGGGGCAACGGGCACAAACTGAAGCACAGGAAGCTCCATCTGAACACGAGGAAGAACTTCTTCCCTCTGAGGGTGATGGAGCCCTGGCACAGGCTGCCCAGGGAGGTTGTGGAGTCTCCTTCTCTGGAGATATTCAAGACCCGCCTGGATGCGGTCCTGTGCAGCCTGCTGTAGGTGACCCTGCTTCGGCAGAGGGGTTGGACTGGGTGACCCACAGAGGTCCCTTCCAACCCTAACATTCTGTGATTCTGTGAAAGCAGTTCTGTCCTTTCCCCTGGCATTTAGTTGTCGTATCTCTCATTCAGCTCACTTGAGCTGCCATGGTGGTCGGTTCAGAAATGACAGCCAAGGCCAAAGAAAAGGCTAGACTTAGTGATGCTACCACACCACCAAAACTTGATCCCCTCCACCACCGAGTAACGGGGCTTGGTTTGTTCATTGTCCAGTCTTCTTCAACACCTTGAAAGGCAAAGTGAGTTGTGCTTTGACTTGAGTCCTTTTGTTTGGTTGGTTGGTTGGTTTCCCCCCCCAGAAATGCATCCAGGAAAGTTTTTTCAAGATAATTTAGGCTTAGCCAAGCAGTGTTTGGTAAAATTACTGTCTCGCATGTACAGGCATGTGAATCCTGTAGCTGTACATGCATCTGCTTAGCTGTTGAGAAATGTAGAGGAGTTACCAGAAAATGGTAAGGTATTGACTGGGGATCTGGTAAATATGTGTATC